GGTGGGGTCGCGGGTACTACTGGTGGTGGTGGTACCACATACTACGCGCCGACGGTCAAGGGCCGCTTCACCATCTCCAAGGACAACTCCCAGAGCACGGTCACGCTGCAGATGAGCAGCCTCACGGCCGGTGACACGGCCACCTACTACTGCGTCAAAAGTGCTGGTGCTTATGGTGGTGGTACTGGTGCTGGTGGCATCGACCCCAGCACCGTGTCCCCAGTGTCACTGCGCTGGGTCCCCAAACCTTCCCCAGACCCCTGTGCCCAGCCCAGACCCCCACACCCACCTCAGGGCCTGGTCCCAAACTTTGGCCCTTTGACCCAAATCTGGCTGGTTTTTGCCCCAAACCTCACCTCTTTGCCTGAATTCTCAACTTCTTTCAACCAAACCTTGATAATTTGCCCCAAATCTCCACCATTTTGCGCGAAACACAACCCTTTGCCCAAAATCTCAACCACCTTCACCAAACCTTGACTGGTTTTGCCCTAAAACTCAACCATTTGCCCAAAACCTCAACTATTTCTCCAAAGCCCAACTATTAACACCAAATCTGGACCTTTTTTGCGCCAAATCTCATCTCTTTGCCCAAAACCTGGACCATTTGCCCCAAGTTCTTCCCCAAAACTTGTTGGGTTTCCCCAAATCTCCACCATTAACCCCCAAACTCAGCCACCTGCCACACAACTTGACCGTTTGTCCCAAACATTGACTGTTTGCCCCAAATTCTGACCGTTTCCATCAAACTTTGGCTGAGTTTGACACAAAATTTCACTGTTTGACCAAAACCTTGACCATTTGTGCCAAAACTCACCCGATTGCCTGAAATCTCATTGTTTTTTTCCCAAATCTCAACCATTACTCCCAAATCTCAACCTTTTGCTCCAAATCTCAATGGTTTGCCCCAAAACCTGACCGTGTTTGCCCCAAACCTCAACTGTTTGTCCCAAATCTCATTGGTTTTGCCCCAAACCTCAACTATTTTACCCAAATCCTGACTGGTTTTTCTTCAAACCGTGACCATTTGCCCCAAATCCCGTCGTTGTGGCCCAGAACTCGTTGGCAGCCGGAGATGCCGGAGATGGAGACAAAGAAGGTGTGAGGGTCTGGGCTTGGTAGGAGGGTGCAGGGTTGGGTCAGCCCCACCTCCACCTTCCTCCTCCTCCTCCTCGCAGCCCTCCCAGGTAGGTGTCGGCCATCTTGACCTCCTCTCTGGGCGCGGTCATTGGGTGGGACGACGATGAGTCATTGGGTGGGACGACGATGAT